GGCGAATTCCGGCCATTGCCGTCTGGCCCAGGGAAGGCACTGTCCCCGGGGCCCCGGGTCGGCTGGTCAAGAGGGTGCCTCAGCCTGGAGCAGCGTCCTCACCCCACCTGGGGGAGGGCAGGGTCAGGACCTCTCCAGCTCCGTCAGCCTCGGCCTGGACTTCGGAAAGGAAAAGGTCTCTGTTGGGCGCCAGGCCCTAACACCTCCCTCCCTGGGGTCTCCCCTGCCTATGGGAGGCAGGGCCAGGCAAAGGGCTGCAGAGTCCAGTGGTCGTGGAATTTAGTAACAAGCTTTTGTTTTCCTTGTATCTATTTTTTTTAATGTTTTTACTCTGCTGTTTGTGGCGATGGCTTCTGAGTTTCTCAGTCTTGGTAACAATGCAGCGTTTCCTGGTAGAACAGGGGGTGCTAGAGTCAGAGGTTGGAGGGAAGGAAAGATTCTGACATATGGGGGGCGGGAAGGTCGTTCAGAGGCAGCTTGTGATTTGCTTAACCGCCTCTAATGAGCACTTGCTGTCTAGGGGCCTTCTGAGTGGGGGTGCCTGGGCAGCCACTTGACCCCTCCGGCAGCACCCCGTCTGTGGGGAAACAGAGGGGTGACCCACCTGAGGCCACACAGCTGAAAAGGGCTGGAGCGGGGCCTCGTTCCTGGGTGGTCTTTGAGCGTCAAGGTGGGGGACCAGTCTGCACCTTCCTGGCTCCTGGGCTGGGTGGGGGGCTCTGGCCCCAGGGGTCCTGCCGGCTGCTTGTCAGTGTGTCTCCTGAGCCACACCAGGGCGGCTGGGCCTAGGCCAGGGTCCCTCCTGTGAGCTGCTTGGGCCTGTCACATGGGCGGGTCCCGCCGCCCGGGAGAGGGACATCTCTTCTTCCCTGGGCCTCACATGTCCCATCTGGTGAATGGGGTGTGTGCCCGGCAGCCTCCTCCGGCAGCCTCCTCCCGGCTGGGGCAGGAGGGCGTGGCGTGTGGGGACCTGCAGGGCCCCCCAGATGCCCCTCCCCCGCCCCACCATGAGGCCCCCTCAGGGTCTCAGACTCTGATGCCAGCAAGTAGGGGGGTATTTTTTTCCCTAAAAATCACCTTTCCGGGGCTGGCACCCCATTCCCACCATGTCTCCTTTCTGGAAGTCCGCGTCTCTGACCCTCCCAGCGCCATGCAGGGTCGGGGCGCCCGGGGACTCACAGGGTGGGGGGCAGCTTTGAGCTTCAGGGAAGGCTTGAAACACATCTTTAAACGTCTCCCGGACAGGAGGGCGCTGGCGGAGACGCTGTGGGTAGAGGGTTGGGAGTGGGGCGCACCGGCAGAAGGCCCCCTCTCTGGCCCGTGCTCCTGGGCCCTTGGGCGGGGCCTGCGGGCCTGGAGTGCCAGCTGGGGGCGGGGGGGAGCTGGACCGTGTCTGAGCGGGGAGGAGCAGCAGCCGCTCCAGGCACCAGGGAGTCTCTGGCAACTCAGGGGCCGGACTCGGGAGGGGCAGTGCAGGTTCGGCCTGGACAAGGGCCAGCGGGACAGCTGGGAGGGGAGCGCAGGGCTGGGGCGATGCACGGGGGTGGGGGTGAGCGTGGGCCTGCCCTCCCAGTTTCTGGCGGTCGGCGCGGCCCACGTCCCCGGTGTGAGGGAGCCTGCAGCGGCGTGTGCCCCAGCGCTGTCTGCGGAGCGGAGATTGGCTGAGCATCCCCTCGGCCTGCGGGTTTGGAGCAGGAATTCAAGGACAGTCTGGGTTGGGCGGCCAGTGGAAAGGGGACCCGTGGCCCGTGGCTGCAGCCTCAGTGCGGGCCAGAGCGGGCAGGCTGGGGGCACTCGCGGGCACTGAAGGGCCAGGGGGCCCCGCCGGGGGCCTCTGGCGGCATTGGGAGGGACCCAGCCCTCGGTGCCCTGGCCAGGGCTCGGCTGTGCCCCGCCCACGGGGATCTTGCTTGGGGGGTGCGACGCGGCTGTGGCCCCACCGGCCCCGTGGCACGGCCGGTCTCTGCTGAGCCTACCAGGCGCTGCTCTCCGGCTCCGTAACGCCCCAGCCGGCCCGGGGGCGCGATCGCTCACGAGCTCTCAGCAGGTCGCAGATCTGTCCGGCGCTGCAATCCCAGAGCATCTGTCACCTCCAAAGGGACCTGACCCCCTCAGCAGCCGCCCCATCTCCTTCCCAGCCTGTCCCCACTCACCTACTTCCTGTCCCCGCGCTGTGCCTGTGCTGGACGTTTCTCGCGAGTGGACTCAGCCGCGGGGCGCGGGTGTCTGGCGTCTCTCCCGAGTGTCCTGTTCGGGCCCCTTCCCGGGGCCGCGAGGGTCAGAGCCGCCCCCTGGTCGTGGTTGAAGAATAGTCCAGAGGCTGGGTGGACACGTTGTTTCTGTCCATTCGCCTTTGATGGACACTTGTTTTATTTGTTAATTTGTACGGTCGCTTCTGAGGTGACTGTGTTCCAGGGTGTGGGGTCCCGTTGAGGGGACAGTGAGTCTACTCCAGAGGGGCGGGAGCCCTTAGGTGGCTGGCGAGTAATGAGGGAAAGGTGAGTTTGGGGGGCCCTGGGCGAGGTCCTAATGGAAAGACCCTAATAATACTCACTGGTCCAGCACACATTGCCCTGGGGGTGTGGCCGGGCCGAGAAAGACAGTTGCTGCTGTGGTAGATGAGAAACAGAACAAGTGGAGTGAGCAGGGCGTTTCGGACGCTGCTGGCCAGGGAGGGTGAGGAGGGAAGGAGGCTCAGTGGAGGCCCAGAACAGCCCCCGGGTGGGGTACGCCTGACTTAGGTGGCCCTGGGCGCCGCAGCGGCTGGGGGCTGTATCCACAGCGAGGGGCTTCAGCCTAAGGGGCCCCTTCAAGCTCCACTGTTCCCTCCCGAGTGGTCACCAGGGGCAGGGCTACTCCTGTCCCCGCCCAGCCAAGGTTAATAGGCAACAGGTTTGCTCCCCTGGGTGTGTGGCCTGCCCTGACCCCTCGGCCACCAGGGGGGTGTCACTCTGACTGAACCTTCTAGCAAGCCCAGGAGCGTTTGCCTCACCGGTGACGGCGTGGTCTTAGCAGCCTGTTGGATGTTGAGGGCCTGGAGAATTCCTTCCCCGGAGGGGAAGAGACCCAGGAAGGCTTCCCGGAAGAGGGGGCAGGCAGCACTTGAGCTGCTGTGGGAGGTGGCAGAGGAGAGGCGGGCAGCTGACGAAGCGTGAGGAAGGTGACGAGCTTGAGGCTGAGGTTACTGGGTGACAGTAGCTGTGGGGGCGCTTAGGGGAGACAGAGGCCTACAGGGTGCTGGCAGCCAGCCGTGGGGACTTCCCTCCACTCCACCCCCCTCCTCATGGGGGAGGGCCCCTGGGCTCCCTCAGCCCCGTGTGACTGACCCACCCTCTCCTCTCTACACCGCCTGCCCCGTGGCCGTGGCCGAGGTCTGTGTCAGCTGTTTCATTTCAGTTAGCGCAGGAATGTTCTGGCTCTGCACTTGCCTGGACCAGGACCCTCGTGCTGGCTGGAGCTGCCTGGGTGTAGTCCCTGGAAGAACAACTGCAGCCCCCACTCACACCCTCCCGGGCCCTCTCACCCGCCCGTCCTGCCCGCTGGGTGACCTTGGCGGGTTGCATAACTTCTCTGAGCCTTTAGAAACTAAAGGGCCCCATAAGGCCGAGGCCGGCTTGGGTGTGCTGGGTTTGGGCCTCATTAGCTCATCCCCCGGAGCTGGGATTATCTCATGTGCTCACTGCCGACGCCCTCTCGAAGTCCTGAGCCGCCCACATGGCGGGTAGAGCCAGAATTTGCTGCAAGCACAGTAAAAATAATCGCACTGGGACGGGAGCCCGCACGTATGGCCGGTGGGCGTCTGGGCGCTGGGCTGTTCCTCCACTAGCTGCTCAGAGCAGTCACACACGGCCCAGCAGTGACTCGCGCGGTCACTCCCTGCTCAGCTGAAAGCCAAGACGCAGCTTCCCCACCCAGCGTGTGAGATCTTTTGTGATCTGGCATCCATGTCCCTCGCTGGACCTCAGAGAGCCCTCAGCCACCCCCAGGATCACCCCCACATCACCCTTCAGGCCCCGGGGAGACGCTGCTCCCCGACCCCGAGTCCCGCCCTCACCATTCCGCATCGGTGCTTGTTTCGCTTGGACACACAGGGTGACCGTCCAGGTGTCTCACGGGGCGCCAGGAAGGTGAACCTCACTCCTCCCCAGCCTCCACTTGGCTCCTGTAAAGTGGGGTGAGGCGGCTGGGAGCAGGAAGGGAGCGTGGGGTCAGATGCTCTCATTTTACTGCCGTTCCAGGGTTCCCTGGTCGCACTTGCTTTTATTTTTTGCATTTTTGGCGCTGGGCATTATCGGCTGGATCCTGGCCACTTCCAGCCAGCGGCAGGTCCAGACCCTTCAGGAAGAGCAGCGCCTCCTGGCTGGGAGTCCTCACCACGGAACAGGGCCCGCCCGGCGTGGGGGCGGGGCGGGCCGGCTGCGCCTCGCGTCTGGCTCTCCCAGGCAGCCCCTGACGCCCGAGGCAGGAAACCCCTCCGTCCCCCAGCGCCAGGCTGGGGGCGAGAGATGCTCGCGCCGGCCCCGCCCCCGCGTGCTGGGCCTCTGCATTACCATGGGGACGGCGCGGTTGCCAGGGCAACCGCCTCCCGCTGGCCCGCCATCCATCACCCGCGGAGGTGGCACGGGGGCGGGCTGGCACAGGAATGGGGGCGCAGCCCGTGCCCTGCAGGCCGCCGTGCCAGGCAGGCGCGTGGGGAGGGGTGGCGGTGTTCTCCGGTGCTCTCCTCCGCGGGCCGCTCTTTGCTGGGCCCCAAACTTCGGGCCGGGCCGCTCGGCCGCGGCGCTGACAGTGTCCGGCGCGGGCCAGTCCCTGCGCTGGGTCCGGAGGCTCGGAGGCTTTGCCTACTGCGGGTCCTGGGGTCCCTGGTGGCACTTGCTTCTGTATTTTGCATTTATGGCGCTGGGCATTATCTCGCTTGGTCTTGGCTGCTTGGCAGCAGGCGGCAGGTCCAGACCCTGCAGAAGAGCTGCCCCCTGCCGCTCCCCTCTCCCCCAGCGGCTCCTCCCTGGGTGGGTCCCTGGAGGCCACCTTGGAGCTGGAGAGGGAAGTGTGCTGGAGCCGAGTGGGCAGCTGTGGCCGGAAGCCTGGCGCTGCCCCTTGCGAGCTGTGGACATGCCATCTCGGGGCCTGGGCTTCCGGCGTGCGGCGTGGGAAGGGCATAGCAGACCCAGGGGGCGGCAGTGCAAAGGCCCCGAGGTAGGTGTGGACCTGGGCGGTAGAGGTGGCCACGCGAGCGGAGGGTGGCGGAGGGGCGAGGACAGGGAGCTGGGGGCCGTGTCCTCTGGCTGTGGTCCCTGCAGGGTGGCAGGGCGGGGAGGCCTGAGGTCGGGAGAGGGGCTCACTTTGAGGCGCTGCCTGTGGGTGTGTGGAGAGGAGGGGTCGCTAGGGGTCAGGAGGTACAAGCATCGGGAGGCCTGGGCTGGGGGTGCGCGGGCTGCGCCCAAGGAGAGGCGAGGCCAAGGGGCAGGTGGCACCTGCCTGTGTCACACAGAGCGTGGGACAGACTGACCGTGCTTGTTGCTCTGGCCGCTCCGGAGGGGCCTCCAGGTCCCGCTGCTGGATCAAGTCTTTCCTGAACGTCACCAAGCTAAACCCAGCGGGGGAGGGGAGCAGGAAGCCCCAGGAAGTGCACCTGGGGCCCGGTGGGGGGCAGGTGCCACCTGCCAGGTAGGGCAGAGCCAGGTGGGGTCGCTTGGGCCTCCCCATGCAGAGGCGAGGCTGTGGGCTCGAGCAGCCGGCGCTCCTCGGCCCTGAGCCCTCACGGAGCGCGTCTGGGTGGGAGCGGGTGGTCAGTGCGGACGTGTGGCTTGGGCGTCTGCTCCCTGCTACGCCCCAGGGGTGCCGGGGTGCCGGGACACTCATAGAGGAGCTGGCAGATGGGGACCCTGAGGCCAGAGAGGTAGAGGCTCCTTGCAGGCAGAGTGCGCCGGCCCTGCTTCAGGGCCAGGGATGTTGGAGGTGGTGACAGGCAGTTTCTGACCCTGTGAAGAGGGGGGCTTGGGGCGCGGCCTGTTCCAAACCCTCCCGCAGCACACCTGTGGCCCAGGTCCCCCAGGGTGGCCCTGTGCTCACTGGGGGTTGGGGCAGAGAATCAGAGGCCCCGGGACAGAGGACCCCTCCTGCGCCTCCGCCTCGCTGCAGGCTGGGTTGAGGCGCCCCTGCGGGAGCAGGGGAGCCCCAGGTTTCCCGGGCAGCAGTTTACTCAGCTCCAGGTGTGCAGCTTCCAGACGGGGCGTGGTGGGGCCTGGCCGAGGCAGGAGGGGTGGGGGTGCCAGGGCTGTGGGGAGCTCAGGGACCCAAGCGGCCACTGAAGCACCAAGCGAGAGGCAGGGCTGGCCGTGAGGCAGGGGCTGGGGGCGGCCAGTCCCCGGTCCTGGGCCTCCTGCCCCGGGAAGCCCCCACAGCCCGCAGCCGCGGCCTCCCCCCCCCGGGGCCGCACCAGCTGGGCTGCCGGCTCTGGCTCCCAGGAACATCCCTCGGCGGGAGCGTCGGGGTGGCTTTGCTGTGTGGCCCTGAGAGGCCCACGCCCTCTCTGGTCGAGCTTCCCGGGAGACTCAGGGTTGCGGTGTGAGGAGTGCCCGCAGGCCCAGGGCAGGAGCCAGTGTGGCCCCCATGCACCCCGCAGGGTGCTGGCGGGGGAGCCGGCGGGCAGCCGAGTGGGGGCCTGTCCTGCTGGCGCTCGGTCAGGGAGAGCCGTCACCTCCCGAACAGACCCTCTTCTCCCCCTCCGGGCCCCCCTCGGTGCCCCCTCCTCCCGGCCCTGCCTGGGTCTCGGGACCCGGGCCGCCCCCCGTGCCAGCGCCCCGTCTTGAGGGCTGGCAGGAGGACTCAGCCCGGAGGAAGACCAGAGGAGAAGGGCTGGCTGCGGCCACGGGGCGTGCGGCCGAGGGCCTGCGCTGGTCCGGCTGAAAGGTGGCAGGCTGGGCCCCGCCCGACCTGGTCTGTCCCCCCCCCTCGGTGAGGCCCTGACCTGCCCCTCTGCACCCCTCTGCGCCCCTCTGCAGGGTCCTGGCGGCAGAGACCACGTCACAGCAGGAGCGGCTCCAGGCCATCGCGGTGAGTTTGCCCTCAGAGGACGCAGCCCGGGGGGGTCAGGGTCTCCCCACATCCCAGGGCTTGGGGCCGGGAGGCCACCAGGACGAGCTGAGGGCTGATTTATGTCTTTGGCAACGTGCACGCCTGCTGGTGCGTTCAGATACACGGAGACCCCTCGGTCCTGAGAGCGCCCCTCCCGGCCCGGCCCG